GCGGATCGATCTATATCGGATTTTGTTTTTTTCAATGGTCAAATGTTTTTCTTCATCGCAAAATTACCATACTGCCATTAATGACTTCGGGTCGGAACCAGGTCATGACCCAGGATCCGTGTGTCTGTCCGATTTTAGACTAAAAAAATATCTAAAATTGTACTGATAATTACTTAAATTGCCACTGCATAATTTCAAAATTACCCATTTCAATTGAATTTATTTAGTTCAAAAGCAATGGTAATTTCAGTAATATTAGAATGGATTTTGGACATTTTACTAAATGTACTTCTGTTTTTAATATTATAGAGATAAATAGGCTTATTAACCCACTTCGAAAATTAAAAACAATAAACCTTCTTTATACTTGAATAGAGCCTAAAACAACAATGCTCGATTTCACGTCAATGCTTGCGTTTATTCTAGCTTTTTTAATCATTGCATTAACTATGAAATATAAGAAGACGAATAAACTGTTCGTGACTTCCTAAACTAGAAAGTTCCCTCTCCCTCTTAGACCTAAACCTTGGCTTATAATCGGAAACCTACCGGAAATACTATGGAAGAACAAACCGGTGTTCCGATGGATACATTCACTCATGGAAGAATTCGACACCGATATTGCATGTATCCGTCTCGCTAATACTCACGTGATCCCCGTGACGTCCTCGCGGATTGCAAGGGAGATTCTGAAGAAGCATGACTCCATTTTCGCCACTAGACCGCTAACTATTGGCACGGAGTATTGCAGCCGCGGGTACTTAACCATTGCGGTGGAGCCGCAAGGTTGTTGATACATGAGTTCGACAATTTATTTATTAAACAGTAAGAGGCTCAGAAATTTTCGTTTATTGATAACGTGCTCGAAAATGGGTTACAAGCAGCATACAAATAAGGAGTAACAAATGTAAAGGATGTTCAGCTCGGAAGCTTATAAGCTGACGAACCTTGTGTTTTGCAGATTTACTGAGTAACGAGATCGGCGTGATCGGTGTTCCGAGGTCAGAGACTGAGTAATATGCAAGTGTAGTGAGATCGGGAACTAGATGATAAGTAAGTGAGATCGGGAACTGGGTGATAAGAGCACTGTGATCGGATTCTGCAAGCCGTTTTCTTTAACGATCTTTGTACGATTCCGGCGGAATGTACGAACAGAATTCTATTCCTTTTTAGGTGAATTAGAGTCCTGAAAACCGTTGGTCCTTCAGATCCCTTGTACTTTCTCCAAAAAGTAATAACTCATGGATCATAGAAGGTGGGGGGACCCCTATTTATATTAGATTGAGGAGGTGCATTTATGTAGGGTTTCCCTTGGGACTTGAGTTGGGCCTTTAATACTGTCGGGCCGAGTTCGACGAGATGGGCTTTATAATTTGTCAATTATAAGGCCCATGCCCAACAGTAGCCTCCTAGTCGACGAGCGGTTGGTTGGTGGGCTCGTCGATGTGGTTCGGAGGCCCATATTTCCTTCGGCTCATCATCTGCTCGCTTTTAATTGGCTCTTTTGAAGCGGTGCACGAATCCCAAGAGGCGACCTTTTTTCTTCTGAGCTAGGTCTATTTAAGCGAGATCCGGACTTCTATTTTCTCTATTTGCTTTTCGATCTCTCCGGACAAAGGTATTTCTCTCTCTCTCTAACCTCTTTCTCGATTTTTCTGCTCGGCTTCGGATTTTCCGGCTAGATCTTCAGGTTCTCTTGGTCGATTCTTCTTCTTTTCCAAGTCCGTTTTCTGGGTTTTTCGACTGTCTCTTCATCATATCTTCTAATTCAAACGATCGCGAAGAATCTAATTTGGTTAACTCCGACAATTCTCCGAATTTAGAATACTCTCCTCCGCGGGGCACTGAATCTCCCGAGGCTTCTTCTTCTGACCTGGAGCCGCTGATTCGGAAGAATCAGCGAGACCCGACCGTTAACCAGGGCGGGGTTGCTTCAAGCTCGGATCGACCTCTTTTGACAAGCTCCCGAGTTGTGTCGAGCTCACTTCCTTCTCCGAGCGTGGTTCTTCCTCCGGTGAGACATAGTGCTGGTAAGAGTTTGGCTCTTAGACCTAGCTCATCTGATACTGGGTACCAGACCTCCCAGTTTGAGCTGGACGACCTCGGTGACTATGGTCGTCATCTGGGTCTTGGGCTCGCTTCTGATATTATTCTCGAGCGTCATGATGACGTGGGGACGAAATCTACTACGGATACGCTCAATAATCTTCAGAGAGGGTATCACATCCCGTCAGGGGTCTCCTTCCTTCTCCCGGAGAGCAGCGATCGACCATGGAATCCTCCTTTGGGGTACATGTGTCTCTATGAGTCCTTTATTTACGAAAGTGGGCTCTGGTTCCCTCTTCCAAGGCTTTTGGTCGAATAGTGTGCTCGGAGGAAGATTGCGATGTCTCAGCTGACGATCACATCCATTCGTAATCTGGTCGGGCTGATGGTAATGGCAGCTGAGCTCGGGCAGAAACTCTGATGTGATGCCCTTGAGGATCTGACAAAGATCACTTGAAAACGGCCAAAGAAGGTCGTTTCTATCTTAGCATGAAGAAATCCTTCATCGAGTGCTCCAAAGGAAATAAGACTGCCGATTGGGACGCTCGTTATTTCATTGTCAAGATCGATCAGGCCTCGGTCGGGAATCTGGACTGGGAAATCCGAGCCGGATGAAACACCAAGATCGGTATTTATTTTGCCCTTGTGTTTTTCTTGGATTGATCGGCACTGACGCCTGATCTGTTTTCTTTATTTTGCAGTTCGTCATTACGGGCTTCATCATTTTGCGAAGGGATTTACCGAACTGAGAAACAGATTGCTTTCGTTTGGACCTCAGTGGTGGCCGGATTTCTTGAGT